AATCCTTTTAAACGCACACTCAGACGTCGAATTTCAGCGAGAGAAAACACTATATACACACACACATATATATATATACATATCCGCCTCAGGTGCGCAGCCAATCACAACAAACAAACCTCTACCTGGATGACAGAAAAAGAAGCCATATGTTTCCAGCTACGTCACTTGAGAACACAAACGGTGCGCAAACATTTTAGGTTCTCCACATATATGTATATATATATATATATATATCAATCATATATAGCTTTATATATAATATATGAGCGTACCCGAGCGGGTCGGAAAGAGCGGTTAATTACTAAACGGCGGATCGCGTTGATGCAGAGAGAGAGAGAGAGAGCGCGCGCGAGAGTGAGAGAGAGAGACAGAGAGAGAGAGAGATAGAGAGAGAGAGATGGAGAGAAGCGTGAATGCACGTGCGCGCCCGCGTAGCAGACGCTCTTCCTCGCTCGTGTATTATACGGAGAGCGCGTTGTACTTTTGTTTTTATGCCTGATATGTGTACAGCGACCGGAGAATGGTCGCATCGGTCGACAATAAAATTATTTGTTAGAAAAATGATATACGAGATCGACTGTGTATATGACGACATGGGTCTTTTCGGCAGATATTGCGCATGCGAAAAGCCAACTTGTAAATGAAATTACACATTAAATAGAGCAGATTAGACTATGTCCAGAGTAGGTACACTTCATACTCTAGGTCATCCTAATATTCATAACGGATCATCTTATAGTAGAAATTTGTCATAAAATTCTAGTCGCGGTACCCCTTCTTCTTTTTAAATATGTGTTCCTTCCGGGAGATGTAGCGCATGCGCAAACCAAGATCTCGGAATGCAGAGAACACTTAAAGAGGACACTGTGCAGAGAGAACTCCAAACAAACGTTATTTAGATGTAACATATTTATTAGTATCGTACTAACAACAATAAAACCCCCCAACATGGGCTGCTTACATCCATGCATGAAGCTTTTCAAAAAAATGAAGCTTTTCTGTGACCAATTTTCCAACAAATTCGCCATAATTCGTGCTCTTGGAATCATAAATGAAAGCGACTTAAGCGGGAGCGACTTAGTAGTATCAATAACGGAGATAACCTACATGCATACCAGTATGCATAATATATGCATGATTGTGGTAGTATACATATATGCAGAGCACTATATCGGCTAGCCAGGTCACGGGAGTTTATACACCTATACTCAAACTTTTTGATGATTAAGGCAGGAGTAGCTCGTTCGTGGAAGAGAAACGTATGGGTACGGTATAGAATGTAAATATGCAAACACGGACGTGGATAGGATCGAGTGGGTAGAGTTCGGAACTTCCGCGTGTAGGAGAGATGTTGGATCGCAATCCGCTATAGAAACAGCCAGCGCATAGACGGCAGAAATATCAAGTACTTGATTTACGTAGTTTTCATGTTAGATGATCCCCAATCGATTGTTTTATCCATTAGTTGAGTGACTTTCGAAAATAGCGGCGACCATCTAATCGTCGCGGAAACCCGCGCGACAAGTTCAACTCCCTCTAGCGATGGAATAATTAACTAATGTGTTGTTCAGTAACGACAATCGTTCATAAAAATAATTCATCTAAGTACATTTATCATTGATCATGTAGTATAATTATATATATAAAGAGAGTAAGACAGAAAGAGTGTGAGAGGGGTGTGTGTGTGTGGGAGAGAGAGAGAGAGAGAGAGAGAGAGAGAGAGAGAGAGAGAGAGAGAGAGAGAGAGAGAGAAGAAGAGAGAGAGAGAGAGCAAGCGAGAGAGAAAGAGAGAGAGAGAGTGAGAGAGAGAGAGAGGAGAGAGGAGAGAGAGAGAGAGAGAGAGAGAGAGAGAGAGAGAGAGAGAGAGAGAGAGAAAGAAAGATAGAGAGATCAGTGAGATGAATGTTTTTCTATGACATCGACATTTAACGAAGTTCGAAGACAGCCACGAATACAACTTCGTAACATCATTATTTAGATCTCGCAGCGACGTTGGTCGGTGGCGCCATCTGGCGGCAGCTGTAGGAGTTACAGCCTTGCACCATGAGGGCCTGGCTGCAGTGAGTGTCCTTCCTTGTTTACAACAACCTGTAGCAAAGAGAGAAAGCGCGTACTAACATAGCAAGAGCTAGTAATAAGCGAATGTGTCTGTGTTTGTGTGTGCGTGTGTGTGTGTGTGGGGGGGGGGAGTATAGTATTGATGAACGTATTTATATTTGCAAATATTGCAATATATTTTTGATGCAACTTCCGTAATCGATAAATATTCTTATATAGATTATAAGAATTATTAAATTATATTATTATTAGAAGATATAATTACGTATAGTGTGTGCTCAAACATGATAGCGTGTATTTAGTACACAAGCGTATCAGCTTTGCACTGCATCTCTTCACACAGCGTAATTGTCAGCACCACGATTACATTAATCGACCAATCAAACATCTCAAAATAAATCATTTTTAAATATTATATAATATCTTTAAATTCATTCGGAAAAAAACGAAAAATCAAATATGGCGGCAGCCCGGCGTATCTCGTGACCCGGCATGAGACAGCGTGTGCGCATGCGTGCTGACCTTGCTGCGACCTCTGCGGCTGTAGAAGACGTTCTCTATGGCGAGAGTGATGAGCGACACGATCATGAAGGCGCCGAGGATCGCGAAGGCGAACGCGAACTTCCCGAGGCATATCGGGAGAGCCAGCGGTAGGACTGTGCCTCCCTTCTTCTTGTTCTCTGGCTCTAAAAGTGACACACGGAGGCATACATACACACAAGTTTTTATTTGTATTTTTTTTTAAAGCGTGCTATATCCCATCGCATTCGCATCCGTGGTATTCCGATGCTCGTGTTTGCGAGCAAAGAAATAGGGCTAGTATAAGAAGTAGTATAATAAAGATATAATAAGAAACGAAGAAAAAAATAGAAGAAAATAAAAAGAGAAGGTTAAAAACGCGAATTTTCATCACCCAATCGACCCACGACCCCACTGCAACCAACGCAAGTGCGCGGTAGCGCCACCTACTTTCGACGAGCGGCGTCAGCGGGCCGCACTCCGACAGGTTCTCGAACCACTTTGCGTAGATGCGGTCGATCGTGCCGTCGCTCTTGAAGGTCGAGAAGGCGACGTTGAAGTCTCTCAGCACGCGCTCGTGGTCGGGCCGTACGGCGAACGCGTACTCACGCGTACCCATCGCCGGGTCGACGATCAGCAGATCACAGGGACGCTGCAGAGAGAGACAGACACACGTGGGTATACCCATAGAAATAGATAATAAGTATATATGTGTTTATATATATATATATATATATGAGTATACCGGGTCACAGCTAGGGAGGATATAGAGGGAGAGGGAGACAGACACACGTACGTATAATGAGTGAATTAATCACGTTCCCCAGGCGCTGCCTTCCCCCTCGCTCTCTCTCGTTCCCGGTCTCCCCCTGTCTCTATCTCTCACTTCCCATCTCTCTCTCTCTCTCTCTCTCTCTCTCTCTCTCTCTCTTTCTCTCTTTATAATATCACTCTTTTTATATATATATCAAGAGTACATAATAGGAGATATAATATAATATAGGATTAGGATATGATATAGGCGGTATATATAATAGGGATAGGATCTCTATTATGTACTCTTGATATAATATATATATATCCTCTATATCACCTTATTGGCCACCACGATGGCGGAGTCTTTCTCGCAGATAAATACGTAGTTTCCGTCTGCGTCGCGCACGCGCTGTATGCCCGCATCAAAGTTGTTCACGAACGTCTTTCCGGCCTCCATGTTGTCAAACATGCTCCGATGTACGGGTTCGTAGGAGCTGTAACACGGAGCAGCCGGACATATATATATATATATATATATACATTAGCGTTCTCTGTGTGTGTGTGTGTGTGTGTGTCTCTCTCTCTCTCTCTCGGGTGTCCTCTCTCTCTCCTCGCTTGTGTGTTGTGTGTGTGTGTGTGTGTGTGTGTGTGTGTGTGTGTGTGTGTGTGTGTGTGTGTGTGTGTGTGTGTGTGTGGTGCATGTGTGTGTGCGCGCGCGCCGCGCGCGCGTGGCGAGCGTGGCGTGCGTGCGTGGCGTGCGTGTGCTTGTGTGTGTGTGTGTGTGTGTGTGTGTGTGTGTGTGTGTGTGTGTGTGTGTGTGTGTGTGTGTGTGTAGGCGCGCGCGCGTGCCTTCGTGCGCGCCACCTGGTTTTGGAGCCGTTTCTAAATAAAGACGTATTTATTCATGAAAACCAGCGTCTTATCTTGTAACTATTATTACATTGAAGACCCGCGCATGCGTAGGTACCATCATCGATGTGTTGCGAACAACACCGTGGATTCAGTCGGAGTCTTTGCACACACAGCTCAGCTATTATGCGTCGGAGCCAGGCAGCCGCGAATAGCGACCACCTCACACCGATGCCGTTACTTCGCCGGCAACACACCTCTACTGCGAGGGAACAAGCTGTTCTGACGAAGGTAAAACCCGACACGGACTACAGTCGTCTGGTATACACGTCAGATATGAGGACGGATGGGCGGTGGGAGACGAAATTTTTTTTCCTAAATTTGAAAGTTCTTTCTCTGCGAGCATAGAGCGTTTTTAGCAGGAAACAATTCTCATGTTTCAACTTGAATGATTTTTCCTCCCATTCGGGTGGACTCAATCTCCCCAACGGGCGCGTGCTGTCACCCCCCCCCCTAGCTGTCCCTACCCCTCTGCTGTCATCTCTGGTATAGATGTCATACGTGGGGGTCGTTGTCTCTTTAATCACACTAGCTTCGAGGCGATTTTTCATGCGTGACAAAAAACGGTGCGTAACCGCGCGCGTACACGACTAACGACTTCCGAGAGGAAAGACGCCGGCAGGGATCAGCCGAAATGTCGCAGATATATACGTCGTCATCTGCGACCGAGCTGGCTCTCCTTCTCTTCCGCTACTAAAAAAAACTGTACCGGCACGTCGAATCGCAGCAGACTTTTTATTGCGTGGCTCGATAGCAAGCGATGACGTGCTCACGACAGACGACAAAACTGCGGTTTCTGCGGCTGGCGTCCAGCGGGTTGGTTGTGGGAGCGATCGTCGCCGTCTACCAGCTCTCTTATAAAGCTCCTCATTCAGGTAAGATACCGGAGCGCTAGCGATGCCGCGCGGTACTCTTTATAGGTGTTAATTGATAAGTGATCATTAGTAATAATGCTTATCAGCACGGGCACCGTAATAGCGGCATCCTTATGTAGAATATTAGTGTAAGTATGATATCTAGTAGTATATTAGAATGTTTAGATCCCTTGTAAGGATGGATATCATGATTAACTATGTAATAGCGGCATCATAATGTAGAATGGTATTCAGAACATGTGAGAATTCCTATGATGTTAGCCGTGGTAGCTTTCCCTTTCTATGGCCTGGATATGGTTGTGTATATTGGAAGAGTTCTCAGTCCAGTTCCCTATTTAATTCAATCACATCTCTTTTTTGCGTTTCTCATCTCTTCATTCTCTCTGTCCTTTCTTTCTTCCGCCCTCCCATCGCTCCTCCGTGCTTATTCATCTCTAGGCCTATCCTTCATTGTTATGCTTGTGTTTCGCTCTCCCCAAACGCTTCAGTCTGCTTCCCTCTTTTCTCTATCCCCCGCTCTCCCACTCTCTCTCTCTCGCTCTCCCCTTCTCTCCCTCTCTTTCTCTATCCCCTCTCTCCCCTTCTCTCCCACTCTTGGTCAATCGAGCACCTCTTACACATTTCCCCTTCTAATCTGCCATATTTGCTCATTCTTTCCCCCACCCATCTGCCATCCTCTTAGCGTTTTCTTCTTCTCCCATGTTGTCATTCCGCCTAACAATGCCACATACATCTCTCGCTCTCCTCCCCTCTCTCTCTTACGCTTTCCCTGCCTTCATCTGCCTTCCATATCGTCAGCGTTTTATCTACTCTCTTTCTATTGCCTCCCGGCAAAAAATAATACTTCGAACTCAAAAAAACAATGTTACCCACAGCACGGCCCCATCGCATCGCCTACCGGAACGTTTCCATGGCGATGGGAGAAATTGTAATAAAATTATTGTAAATTCACAAACGTCGAGGGAGGAATCTTTTCGCGGAGGTCTACCCACTCAGTAAGTTCGTTGCAAATCATTAGCAACTCGTGTAAGCGCTGAACTTCTCGCTATATTAATATAAGCTCACTCTGTTCAACACATACGCCGCTCGCCGCTCGCCGCTCGCCGCTCGCCCAGTATTACACGCCACGTAGATATGTGTGATTCAGATGCACAGCGGACTAATGACATTTTTTTCATGAATGTTAGGAGTCGATCAAGGGTCATCAGGGCCGACTGCAAAACTAGATGCTGCTGCTGCTGTTGTTGCTGCTGCTGCCACTACTACTACTACAACAACTACTACTACTACTGCTGCTGCTGCAGAGAAACACTCGGCACACACACTCGTCATTATTTGTGGTAGGTAACTGTATATATAGGTAAGATACATAATCATAGTAGTGGCAATGCACCAGATGCATTAACATCCGCGATCCGTATACAAATACGTCCGTGTTAATTAGAATTCGTAGGGTCCGTGAAATTAAATTAAATCGCCTCCGGGCTCAGTACATTGATATCACATATATATGATATATATTATATATATATATATATATATATATATATATATGTGATATCTATGATTTGACCATCGTGACACGCGTTCGCTAACAGTTAACTGGCAGCCGACAACTACTACAAAACTACAAAAACTACCGTAAAGCGGCATGGTGACATTTTTGAAACACACACACGCACACACACTCACGCTGCAGAATAGAACTCAGACACCGTACGTCAGTGGACACGCGGAAGACACTTTCACGCGATGTTCTCGATAGATGTTGTTGCTAATGGTTGGAAATAGCTGACGATAAACCAGTTCGGCGAACATTTCCCCTGTAGAGCGACTTTCTCTGCGCCGCCGGCGAATTNGTGGAGAGGTCCAACGATCTCATCGCCCAAATACACACCTGTAATTACAGCCAGGTGGTGACGATGTCGCGACACTACAAGAAGCGGTCGCCGAGATGGCCGATGTTTGTGACCAGGAGCAAGGCGATCGGCCAGGTGTTGGGCTGTGGTAATGACATCCATGAGATCAGGTGAGGGCTAGTATATATAGAAACTACGTATCAACATATCTAAGCTAGGTATATCCCATTTCTGTTATACCTCATACCTACTTATGCATATATATATATAAATATATATATATATATTAACTGTGTGTGTGTATTGTCGTGTGTGTGTGTGTGTGTGTGTGTGTGTGTATGTGTGTGTTTGTGTGTGTGTGCGTGTTGTGTGTGTGTGTGTCGTGATGTGTGTGTTGTGTTGTGTGTGGTGCGTGGGTGGTTCTGTGTGCAGTGCTCTGGTGTTGTGTGTGTGGAGTGCTGTGTTGTGTGTGTGCGCAGCGCGCAGCGTGGTGTCGTGTGTGTAATGGTTACGTTGTGCGT